GGCGTCGACTAGCCCTTTCACGCCGGCTTTCGTCTCGTCAAAGGCTTTGAGCTCACTGAGCCGGTCGTATTTTGGACCGTTTTCATGGTTCAGCAGTGTGGCTTCCATTTTGATCGCCTTACGGATTGAGTCCATAATAATACGGTTGTTTATACACTTATACCTGGTTTTGCTACGTACGACAAAGGTATTTACTGATGGGCCCATATGATTGGAAAATCATTGAACAATTTTTCAAAGTCAAATAAATTGGTGGTATTTCCAATTCATGATACTCCCTAATATATTTAGAGTTTAATATTTTATCCATTGTGTGAAGTTAGTTTGCGTTATTTGTAAACACTCCTTATCTTATTATTAGATACAAGAACTAATTCCACTTTACTCTAATGATGAGTTTTTATTTTCACATTAAAGATGTTTTTTACTTGGACTATAATTTGTCCCAGATCAGATCAGACCAGATCAGACTTGAATAGTTATAAAAATACAAAGAAACCAGACCAGACCATGCCAGTTTAGACCAGATCAGCAACTTACAGTCCAAGTAAAAACATCCTTAATATACATTTTTTCACTTTTCCATTTTTGATATATAATCAATATTATTTTATCATTTATAGTTTTTTTGTCTAATTTTTGGATGCCTCTCTAGCGATTTTAACCATAAGAATATTGACGAAAGGACTATATATGGACGAAAAACAATAGTCATGTTTAAAAAGTGATCAAAGTCAAAGACGAGGATTAATTATAGAAATAGAGTAATACTCCTTGCACCAAAAGTGAAATTTATTTTAGATGTAATTGAAATAAACACTCTCCATCACAATATTATACTCCCAATGGTATTCACTTATTGGCAAATTAAGGCTAAATATTGTTTTTTCATTCGTTCCAAACATTCTTTTTTATATGTTCCCATATAAACTCCTTTTATCTTTTTGACAAAAAATATGGTTCAGAATATTTGGTTGTGACTGTCTCTTTCATCCCTACAAATTTAGACCCTTTTAGCCAAAAAATATCTCATTAGTATGTATATATTTATACGTTGTGAATTCGTGGGGGAGGAAGATATATTAGTTTGTGGTGAGGAAATGGGCGGCGAGCCAGGTTGATCACTTGTTGGATCTCCAAACGCGGAGGTATGGGGCACGTGAAGCTGTGCAGTGAGGCATTTACGTTGAGCAGCTCCACCACCGCCGTACTTCATTTACAGTCCTGTGAACCCCGCGCGCCCATCTTATCTGGATCTCACTTAGCTACTGTAATATTCTCGACTTCTATATTGTAGTGGACACCGGAAGGGGTTGGAGAAGAAGCCTTAGCTTAGCGGCAGAGATTGAGCCATGTATCCGAGTATTCAAATTACACACTATTCATGTACTCTATTTTGACTACATTTTATTTATTAATGTAAGTGAATTATGTTTTTTGAAATGATTTTCCATCTTGTGGCTTAAAAAATTGAAATGAGTGTTTTCAAATGTCAGCTTCACCTTAAATTAAACATTTAAAAGTTAAAAGCTGAGAAATAGGTGGAAAAGTGCTCTCAATTGCTTCTCGCTTTTTTATTACACAAAAAACATTTATTTTATCAAACATTATCAACTTTTACTTATTTCAGAAATATTTTTTTCTCAAATATTGTCAACTTTTACTATTAAATGTTTTCTCCAAAATCACTTTAAAAATCACTTTTTTGAAGTAAAAGTAATCACAAACACTACTTAAAAATATAGTTCGTATAAGTTGAAATTTTAAAAATAACACAGTACGGAGTACTACGTTTGATAGATAGTAGGGAAAACTGTCAAATAAGTTCTCGAACTTTCATAAAAAAATCAATTAAGTCATTCTATAGAAGACTCTGTCCGGTCGTTGTGATTTGGGGCGGTTCCTGGTGGAATTTTTTGATGAAATGTTTTGAGCATCTTATTCATCAAGTCTAGTTTACTCATACCAAATTTCAGCTAAAAATTTAATCGGGAGCGCATTCAAATTAATTCGAGAACGCAAAAATGCGCTGTTAACTTCAAGAATTAATTTGAATGTCTTCCGGATTGAATTTTTAGCTTAAATTTGGTATGAGTAAACAAGACTTGGTGAATAAGATGCTCAAAAAATTTCATCAAAAAATTCCACCGGGAATTACCCCAAATCGAGACGGCCGGATAGAACCTCCTATAGAAGGACTTAATTGACCTTTTTATGAAAGTTCGAGGACCTATTTGACTGTTTTCCCTAGATAGTACTACAATTTTTGTTAGTGTCATATATAGTATCGTTACTTGTTATTTTTAAAAATAACATTGTATGATACTCCGTTTGTTAAACTACTTTTTTTTTGGCAAGCATTAAACTACTTAAAACTATACTCCATATAAGTTGAAATTTCAAAAATAACATAGTATGTTAATAGTATTTGTTAGTACTCACTCCGCCCAAAATGAGAGACTTGTTTCTTTTGTGCACAAAGATTAAGAAAGTGTGGTAGAAAGACTAAAGAACTTTACTTTATTGTACTGTTCATCCTTTTACTTTTACTATTCATTAAAAAGGAGGGGTATAAAAGATAATCCACTTTCAGTTCTTTACCAAAAAGGGAAACAAGATCATCATTTTGGGACATCCCAAAAAGGAAACGCAGGACCATCATTTTGGGACGGAGGGAGTATCAATTAACACTACTTAAAAAATACTTGTATAAGTTGCTAAGTTGAAATTTCAACTCGAAAAATGGGTTAAAACAACAAATGTAATGTTATCCTTAGAAGTAGGGATGGACCCGATTCGGCCCGGTTCAGAAATTGGTCCTGTATTGTACTGAATCAATCCCAATCCTAATTCCGTATGTCAATAATTTCACGGACCCAGGATTGACTGTAGTAAAAAATAAGAATTAAAAACCCGCCCGAAGCGGCCCGGGACCTATATTCCCAGGTCGGTTCCGGACCCCCATATGTTAGAACGGGACCTGAACCAGGACTGGACCGTGAATAGGTCCACTTCTACTTAGAAGTCTCAGAACTACTTATTTCACTAAAAAATCTAAAAATTATTATAGACCTCTCTACTTTATACAAACTTCAACATTATGATAAAAAAAAAAATACAAACTTCAACATCGTATCTATATTGGTTATCCATCGATAATGAATACCACAAACTTTTTAAGTAGTACTTTCTTGACCTTATGATATGCTCATAGATATTCAATCGTTATGATGTGCACACTTGACTTCATGCACTTGAGGTTATTATATTAACAATCGATAGATCAATTGTTCATGAAATTGGTAATATTTATATTTGTTTCAGTTGATAGTAAAAGTTGGAGTACGTAAAACATGATCATATTACTAAAAGGTATGCGATGCCGAATTACGATCGAAGTATATTTATGAACATTTTAAATTCTGTTAAATCATTGGTAGCATTACTGAAAACAAAAAATGAGAACACCAAGGAGTTTCAACATGTTTATTAATTTAATCAAATCCTCAAAATGGTGCTCAACCCACATTGAATTTCATTACTAATGTAAGATTCTCTGCTGAATGTTGAATATAATAGGTGTTGAATATAAAAGGCATGCCCATAGTTATTCCCTTAAAAGTAAATGAATTAAAATGAAAAATACACGAATATACTCAAGTTGGAACAATTGAAAATCTCCCCAGATAAAGAGCAATTGATAGAAACACAATGCTTCCTAAGAATTAACTGTTAAGAAAACATATTTTGTCATATTGAGGCTCATGTCAATTCTAGAATGGATCTACTTTTCATCCGAAGACGTAGCCAACAAAGCCGACCAACAAATTGAAATGGCTAAACTGATAATCAGATTTGTGTTCATCGGAGGCATTGCGAAGGTGATGTTGGCAGTGCCGATGGGATTTAGAAGAGAGATTTTACAGTCAGAAATCTGCAGTCCTCCTTTGTAATTCCATTTCTTCAGAGTTCAAATGGGAAGAAGTATAAAGCCAAAGTTATAGTATCATATTGGCCCCTTTTCAAGTAGTTGCTTACAAAAAAATTGAAAGTTTGAGTGCATAAATGTATTCCGTATTTATTTATCACATTCGTTTTAGGTATATACAGATTAATTCAGTGTCAAAACTCTTGGATCAGTACATGATTCAAGCTCAAGTAAGATATACAAAAATATGTGAATTGAAAGAATATACTTGTATTTGGAAACCTTGGAGAATTGTAATGAAGCATACAATAAAATGATTTGGAACAAATCATTTTATGTGCGAAACCATAAAATTAAGAGCCAAAATCCATATTTCATACCTTTGATAAGTTTTTCCATCTTTCCAACTTAAGAATGATGAATAAAAAGGGCTGAACCCATCTTCTGACTGTGAATGTAAATCTGTTATTTTTAGAGAAGTCATTTAAATATAGCTATCTAAATAGGATAAATTATTGGAAGAAATGGACTGCACAACAACAAAAATAAAAATAAACCTCTAGAACTACACAACCCAATAACACAAATGAAATACTATATGCCTGGGCTGCTTTCCCTAAACTATGACAGTTAGCTATGATCTATAAAGATGGATATTATAAAGTGAAACTAACTATATCTTACATTCTTCCACCATCCACTTTGTACCTAAATGAAAATTGACACTGGAATGTTGCATAAACCAAGCACTTGAAAATAATATAGTGCATAGAAGTACTTAAATTCTTGTATTTCACTAAACCAGACCAAAAGGCGAAATACTACTCCATCCCAAAAATAAGAATACAAAGCAAAGTTAATTACAGGATGAGTGATGACTATGATGATCAGAGGCAGCAATCCAATGCAATGATAAAAATTTCTTGCTATGCCCCCCTAGACCGATTTTTAGAACATTCCAATCATATAAATAATGATGCATGCGTCAAAAACCGGCAAAACACTTAACATATGTCAGGATCCTGGAAAATACTATGGAAATGAAAATAAAGATAAGAAAAATTAATTATGTTCGGTGTTAACTTTTCAAATGGAAAGAAAAATGGAATATAATCAATGCTTTTTTATATAGATTTTGAATCCTACACTCTCCCATATGTTAGTGGTAGGAGAAACTCGTTTCTACAAACTTCAAGCATCATTCTTCTAGTATGTGCAGCTTTACTCTAATGAAGAAAAATAATCATTACTTAGTAGAATAGTTGTAGTGCTACTACTGTATATAAGCTAACATGCAGACAGTCTCATCTTGGACTTCCAATTCCTTCTTCAGTGACAGTATGAAGAATTTCTTCTTCAGCAACTGTTCCGATTCCTGCTTCAGTGTTGTTCTTCTTTGCTGGAGGTCCTCTGGCTACTAGCATGCCATCACCACCAAAAGTCTTGGGTTTCGCATGGTCAACAAAGATAACACGCCCATGTAGAGGCTACAATCATTCACGAATACAATGAAGATGCAAAGTTAATAAGCTGAAGAGAGTCGGTGTATGCATATATCCATACATGTATGTGCAATTGTGCATCATCATCGCCACCGTCTTCTTTTTTATCATGACCTAAATTCTTGCAATTAATTGAAATTGACAAACTTAACCTTGGATGGAAATTTCTTCGAGGTAGATAATTAAATGAATTAAGAATATAAGTAACTAATAAACATGCGCTACTTATGAACATAGATAAGACCGTGATCCACATGGTTGGAAATAATAATAAAAAAAAATCAAAAATTTTAAATAAAAACTTATAGAGAAAATTGGGTATATAAACACAATTAAATATGTGCATTTAAGTTAATGTTATGGATTAAGAAAAATAAACTAGATAGCTTTTATCAAAACAACCGATACACTATGTCGATCATTACCTCATACCAGTTCCGTTAACCTTAATTACAATAGTTTCATTTATACTCCGTCATAAAGAGATCATGCCTCTATGGAGCAAATTAATTCCCGAATTCCAACTTCTGCATTTGTTTCATCTAAGAGTTAATCTTACTTTCATCTCCTATTCATATAATGCAATTCTCCAACATTCTTTTGTTTTATATATCATATTACTCTTACTCCCAAAAAATCTTTCGACAGCAGCAGCCTGCAAAACATACCACTCGCAATGTCAATCGCCCCGTAGTTCCCTTGCACAACCAAAACAATTCGTTGGTGGTGCCAACAAACTTCGACGGCAGCGGCAGCGGCAGCGGATTTTACGACAGTTCGGCAGAAAATTTCACGAAAAAGTTCCGGCGGCGGACGTCACGCAATGATCTGGTGAGCCATGGTCAGTAGTTATTAGCCATATGAATGGATTTTGGTCCAATCACAAATATAAAATCCTAGTAAGGTATTTTAAGTAGTAGATCCTATTTTTGAAAAAAATAACTTTGTTTTAATCTGGTTTTTTACCGGTCTATGGATGCAATTCCGGGAACGTAGCGGCTTTTGCCTGCTTCTCTGACACCACCGTTTAGTACCAACATGACCTGGAAATCTGGAATCCAATTGTGATATGTAGTATTTGACTATTTGGAAGGTCTTATATTTGTAACCATAATAATTGCAGATGAAAGATTGGATACAGTATTAAAAATTTACCGACCTCATATTAACAACAAATATGCTATGTATTTAATTATATAAAATATAGGCTACTAACTTCAAGAGGCCTAATTTTTTAGGCTATATAGCCATTTTTCCCAAACTTATAATACTTTTTAAAAAACAGATACTATAAAAAGCACAGTATAAAAACACTAAAAACAAAAAACTATCCGCCAAAAAAATGAACTGCAGAAGATTTCTGTTAAATGTGAGTGAATGGTTAATATGGAATTTCATTGTCAACTTAATTTTACGATAGCCCTCCAGTTGAATAATGAGATGAAATTCCAAAAATTGTCAACATCAGGGTTGTCCATTTGGAAGGGGAGCTTTGGCGCACCGGTTAAAGTGTTAGTGTGTGACTGAGAGGTCACGAGTTGAAGTCTTGGGAATGGCCTCTTGACAAAATTTGACAAGAGAAGCCTTGCCCCTTGTACACCCTTGTGGTGGGAGTGTGGGACCCTTACCTGGACCCTTGCCTTGTGGGGATGCCTTCGTGCACCGGGATGTCCAGGTTGTCCATTTGCATGTAATTGTATCCTGAGAGAGCGATGTATGTGCATCTTGTGTACATATAGAATCTACAAACATATGGAAATTGGGTATACATACCTTCCCATTCATCTCTCTCAGGGCTCTATCTGCTTCATCTTGTGATGCATAAGTGACAAACCCAAACCCCTTTGATTTTTCTGAGGTTCTATTAGTGACTATTTTAGCTGAAAACCAAAAATACACACATAAGGAGGTTATGCTCTTGTTAGCTTTAAAGAATGAGCAATGTATCTTTTTTGCCTGACGGACACACCTTCAATGACTTGGCCAAACTGAGAAAATGCTTCTGACAACACCTTTTCTGTGGTGTAAAATGAAATCCCTGCACCATTTACAAAATAGAAGATACACAAAGTAGATAAAAAAAGTTTTCCCAAATATAGGTATTGACAGATATGTACAATACGGTATTGTACATATGGTCAATTGCAATAAACATCAATAAGCTGAAATAGCCATTTGAAGAAATTACGAAAAGGAAGAAAATTTATAGAACACATGCTCAGTAGAGACAAACACGAACAGCATATCTCATTCTATAAACGACAATTCAAATAACTCAACAACTTATGTTAGCACACATTAGCAGATGAATTATTTATCAAAAGATATACTAGTACTGATTTCGGTATATATTGAAATTGCTTGGCTATCAATTTATAGTTTGTAAAAGTTGCGATTACTTTTGTTCTATAATGAATAGTCGGTGTCATTTAAATTTGCTTTCCCATGGAAGAGCAATAACTTCATGTTTATTAAAAAACCTGAAAAATAACCACATAAGGCCATATCTGTTAAATTGAAGGAGCATACTATTAACCATGTAAACATAAAACATGATTGACACAATCAAATTATTTCCATCAGTAAAACCTGGGAGCTCACTAACCATCACATCATTTATACAACATTGACAATGCAATAGTAATCATTTTTTTCTAAGGCCTTGCAGAGTTTTTCATATTTAAACAAAACCATTTATCATGGAAACTAGTAAAAACATATTTTGTTAATTGATAGAATCTATTATACCTAATTGATGCATTATACTCCATTACTCCACAAATCTAATCCTAAATTAGCTAGCTGATGATAATAAACAAGTATTAGAGAGAGACCTCCGACAAAGAGCTTGGAAGCGATGCCTCTTCGAGAGCGAAAGAGATAAGAGGGCTGTGCTGAATGAGTGAGAACATTCTGCAGCCTTCTAAGAGCAGCCATGCTTCTCCCTCTGTTGTCCCTCTGAACTCCACAATTAGGGTGCGTTCAAAATGGCATTTAGGCAAAAAAAAATGTCTACTAAGAGCTTCTAGTATTTAGGTATTTCGTATCCACTAGCTCTTTGATTTGTTATAGCAGGTTCTTATTTTTTTAATTAAATTAGGAATTTATTAAAAAAAAAAAAAAGAGAGAGAATGTCAAAAAAGAATGTCAAATAAGAGCTTCTAGTATTTAGGTATTTCGTATCCACTAAGCTCTTTGATTTGTTATAGCAGGTTCGTATGTCAAATAAGAACGTCTACTTTTAAAATAAGATCCACTAAGCTCTTTGATTTGCTATAGCAGGTTCTTATTTTTTTTAATTAAATTAGGAATATTGATAAATGTTACAAAAATTCATTTTAATTTGAATAAATAATCTAATAATAATGTAAAAATAGTATAAATATAAAAAAATAGTTAACATTTTATAAACATTAAAGTAAAAAAATAAAATAATCATAAAACTGAAAAGATAATGTGAAAATAAAAAATAAAAAATAAATAAAAACCTCTGAAATAGATGTTGAATATACAATTTTTTTAACAATTAAAAAAATATTAAATTTAATATTATGAAAGTTTTCACAATTTTTGAATCAATTTCGTAAAACTTCAAAAAAAAAATAGAATTTTTAAGCATTAAAAACTTGCTATTACAAATCAAAAACTGATTAAATGGCCAAATTGATTCATTTTGTAAAGTAAGCGTACTTATATGATACTCTTTTTAGTACAAGGGTTTAAGTGACGGTTTGGAAATAGTATAAGGGCTTATTTGAACATTTTTTCATAAAAAAGTCATGATTTGATTTCTTATACATTTCATGTTAGTGATCCACATTGTTTAGTAAATATTGTTCAGCTATAACATTTTTGTGTGGAAATAATTGGTGTTAGTAATTAAGTAGTAATTGTTTAGTAATAGCATTTTTATGGAAATAATTGGTCTACACATTTTTATACATGGTTTTTGTGCATAGCTTTATTTTGTGTACGTGTACGTCTAACTAGTCATGGACCCGGGCCGGGCCGGTTCCGGTTCGGGCCTAGGCCCGGCCGGGCTTCTTTTTTGGGAAGGAAGAACTGGAACCGGTCCGAGTAGGCAGCGGTTCCGGGCCATGCCGGGCCGGTTCATGTTATTTTTTTTTAATTTTCTTTTGCTTTTCTAATTAACCCCGAGCCCCCCACCCCCAAACCCCCCCAAAACACCCAGACCAACCTGGGAGAAACCAAAAAATTTGAAAAAAAAATAATAATAAATAGGACGGGCCGGTTCCGGGCCGGTCCGGCCTTTTAGGAGGCCCGCCCTGTTTAACCCCCAGTTCGGGTGGCCTGGACCAGTCCTATGACCGGGTACCGGGCCGGTCCCAAACAGTACCCGTCCCGGGCCGGTTCCAGGCCGGTTCCACGCCGGGCGGCCCGACCCGAGTCCATGACTACGTCTAACTTTCAAAACTTTTGCATTTTTCTACAACGTTTTGGTTTAGCGTTTAAAAATATAGCATTACCCGTATAATCATCGGCTAGCTAGCTGATTAGGATTAGATTTGCAAAAAAGTCTTTGAAAATGCAATTTGTGGAGTGCTTAAAGTTTTTATGATTTCACTAATTTTGAGTAATACTAAACCGAACTCAAGCATAATGAAATAAGGAATGTTGACACAATTTATAGAACTAATATATATATATATATATATATATATATATATATATATATATTCCTTAGACAAATTAATAAATAAAAAAAATACTTCCTGTAAAGATTGTCAGTTTGTCACATCTTTCCTTTGCAATATGTGCCTTATATCAAATTTAGTAAAGTTTGTATGAATCTAAATCATTCTTAGTGTATTCCTACTTTGTTATTATAACATCAACCACTAAACTCACTTTTCTTAATAATCATGTCATCTTTTTATATCCTAATGTTGGATTGTTACTTTATTATTATAACATCAACCACTAAATTCACTTTTCTTAATAATCATGTCACCTTTTTATATCCTAATGTTGGATTGTTGGTGGGACAGACATGGTAACACGGTAAACAACAATAATTCTCAAGTTGGCTTTTTAATATAATATTTTGATACGCATTGTTCGGAGTAATAAATTAAAAGAATGCATCCAAAAATTAGCAATACTACTGACGTGGATTCAATTTACGGTATAATTTGCAGAAAAATGGATGTCAAAGTAACTCAAAGGTTGTAAGTTGTAACAAAATGCGATATAGTAACAAGTTAACAAGACAATAACAACACTACAGAATTATGTAGGTCTCTATCAGCCCATTTTAAACTGTTAAAGAATACAGAATTACACACTGTTAATAGAGAAAAAATGGCACACCACAAGAATTTAGAGAGCAGATTCACAAATCATCTTTTCCAAAGACAAAACGGTCCAGCCAACCAAATCAATCACATTCTGTGATGCCCAAAGGTAGCTAACATTAAACTCCGACCCATATACAAACAACTTCACACTCGACTTTCACCATAAGATTAAAACATACGAAACTATAAATGAATTATGTGTTCTAACTCTGGTCCTCAGAGAAGGCAGACAAAACCTTTAAATGAAAGAAATACAGAGAGAAAAAATGATTACACATACTAATGCACCCATCTCCACCAGTGTGGAGTATATATGCATAATGGTCATACACAAATGAACTCAGAAGTTTATGATGCCACCATGTTCATTAATTAGAACTCTCAAGGTTGGTGTACTTTTGACAACGTCTGGTAGACCAAGTCGATAAACTGATTGTCCTGTCATCAGAAACAAAAACATGAATATAGTAAAGCATCAAATTTCATCATCATGAGAAAACTGGTTTTATATCAATTAAACAAAAAGTTCATTATATACCTGAACTAGCATTAGAAGTGCATCTCGGACTTTTTCTCTGCTTAGTGTCACATTAATAGGAGTGGGGTTAGAAGTGAGTGAGAGGGGCGGTGTAGGAGGAGGGAAGGGTTGAAGTATTGGTGCACCATGTGGGCGCTGTTGAGTCAGAGGGGGAGGATTAAGAGAAGGCATCGTTTGGATAGAGGTGGGCATAGGGTTCATTGGCATTGCGGGTGACATAGGGGGAGGTGTGAAGAAAGAAGAAGGCTTGAGAAGAGCAGCAATCTGATTGGTTTTGTTCATCCGGTCAGTGCCATCATGCAGAGACAAAAGTGATGGAGCAGCTGAATGAGGGGGAAGAGTTGGGACATGTGGTGTGGGGCTGGGTACACGTGCAGTTGGAGCTAAGGTTTGGGCAGAAGGATAGTATATTGGCCCAGTGTTTGGAAGCTTAGACGAGGTTACACCTATACTCGTGGCCGCCTGCAAGAATTCAACCATTCATACTTGTCACGGCGGTAAGGCGAGGCGAGGCGCGGCGCTAGCTGACCGCCTTATCGCCTAGGCGACTAGGCGCCTGCCTAGGCGACAATTAGGCGACTAGTCGCACCATATGTAATATTTAAATATGTAAAATAATATATTTAAAGATATCTCCAATTTGTAATTTATTATTTACTATATAATACAAATAAAAATATGCATTACCTAGTTTTGGAAGCAACGATTAATAATTCAAAACAGGGTTTACTAAATCAAAGCCAGAGTAAATCAAAATTTGAAAAAAAAAATCTAAAATATTAAATCCAACATAAACAATTTGTAAAGGTGGTGCATACAACAAACACAAGTATGCAGCATGTAAAGACATAATTAGACTAAAGGACCTACAGTATACTGCGTATTATGTGAAGGAACAAGAAACGTTCAGTTGAGGAAAAGCTGGGGAAAAATGGGAAAACATAGAAAGAAGACCTGCGGAATTTTGATTAATGATTTTCTATTCTCCTGGACTTAGATGCAACTCTGCGACTTGAATTCTTAAACTCGACGGACATCTTTTGAGATTCAACTGGACTTCGACTGCGATTTTCGTTCTGAAACTCATCACGCATCTTTGACTGGAGTTCGACGAAGGCTTTATATTTACATTATAAATCTTTTTTGGGTCTGGGTTATGTCCCTTTCGCCTAACCTACGCCTAATCTATGCCTGGACGACGTCGAAGTCGCCTGGTCTTCTTCAAGCGAGGTGATGATGCTTGGCGACCACTTTCCACTGCCAGGACGCCTAGTCGCCGACTAGGCGACGCCTAGTCGCCGACTAGGCGACGCCGTAACAACAATGCAACCATTATTATTTACATATGCTTAAGCTGCATTTGATTGCTGGAAAATAAGTTATATTAGAACATGTCCTTCACAAAAATAATGTATTTTATATATATATCTGTATTACAATATAATAATGAATGTATACCACAGGAAAGTCAGGGGCAACAAGGGGAAAAGAGGAAACGAACAGAGCCTTAATGTATCCATTCACTTCATCCATTACCATTCACGCACTAGATAAAACATAACATATTACTCCTCATTAGACAGTTACACTTCATTTCTTGTCTAAAAAAGCAGTTCTAGGGGCTGGGTATGTTTCCTCGAGTATTAGCCGGGCAATTGCCAAAAACACCTTTACTTAAAAAAAGAATGTTGACAAAGACTCGCTATTTCTTGGCTTGGGAATATCATGGAAGAAAGCAAAAGGGCTCACTAAACTGTGCGCTTCTTTGTTATGAAAGCGCAGTCAATCCATGCAACTTTTGACGCGATTTTCGTCCTGGGTCATTCAGAAACAGTCTCTTTGTGCTCTGGCACTATGATAATGTTGTTGTTGTGTACTTAAAAAGAATGTTATGTTTCCATATATCCAAACTTTAATGTATCTAACAGAACATGTATCCTTACAAACTTGCTAAGTGACAAGCCTGTGAATAGAGTCTCCCCACTTAAAATGGAGAAAAATGTCATAAACACACCTAATGAGGAAAAGGAAGTAGCACATATGTTGAGTATGATAGTGCATTTAGAGAGCGTTAAGTAGGCAAAGAAGTTAGAAGACAAGGTAGTCAACCCTACAATCTTTTTGCATGCAATATTTAGAAATGAATGAATTAGGAATGCAATATAAGAGACTATGACTATACAGTATTAGCAAGAAGTGGTTGTTTG